GGTGGGGGGCGCCGCCGGCCTCGGCCTTGTGCGGGGGCACGTGGGGGGCAGGGTCCTGCGTGGGCTGCTTTGTTCCCTCTGCTTTCAGCTGAGCCTGCTTAAGGAGAAGGGGCTGGTGCCCTTTCCTTCCTTCTTTTTCCCCTTCCTTCCTCTATCTCTTTCCCCTTCCACTACCAACTTCCAAATCTGGCTGGTCATCTGGCTCCGTGCCAACCACCTCTGCCCCGTCTGGGCTTTTTGCAAAGACCACAGCTTTCTCCAAAGTGCCCACTGTGCCGCCCTCTGGATGCCACCTTCCTGCGGGGCTGTCCAAGAGGTCCCTCCTGCGCAGCATTGCTGCGATGCGCCCGTGCCCAGAGCTCGGGTTGTTCTGCTCAAGACAAGCTCCTCTGCCAAGGTCATGCCCAATGGGGGACTCGCCTGGTCCTACAGTGCTGTAGGAATAGGTCTTTCCCAGCGGTCAGCCTGCTCCATTGATGCCTGTAGGTTTGGTGCAGTTTCGCCACCTCTTCCAGGAGCCTGTGGGCTTTGCGCACAAGTGGCTTGCAACTTTTGAGCCTCTTGGAGACTTTTGGGTTGGTGTCCTGACCTCCCCAGATCACTCCCTCATACCAGGAGACTGTCCTGTCCTCGTTTGGTGCGTTGCAGAGGCCCGTGTTTCAGTGCGGGCAGTCCAATGAGCCCAGAGGACCTCCTCCCCTCTACCACTTTTTTCTTTTACTTTGCCCTGTCCCTTTCCCAGCACAGAAGACTTGAGCTGCTTCTAGCAAAGTTTTTAGGCTTGTTGACTTTTCGCAGAGCCCATAATCTTAAAGTAAGTATTTGTGCAGCATGGCATAGCCTTAGCCTGACTTGTCCTGTGGGTCAACAGCCAGGGTGGCACCCATCCTAAAATTATGCATGCTTCCAACATTTCTTCTCGCTAATGGCAGTGTTAGAAGAATTAAAAAAAAAAAATTTTCCTAAGGAACGACTTCCTTAATGACTGAGGAGCATCCGCCTGTTTGTAGCAGCAAAACTCGTACCCTGAATGATTCATATGTTGGCTTCTCACTCCCATCTCCTGTCGTTTTTCTACAGATTGCATACAAGGTAATTATTGGCTGGCTGTAAAACACTAATAACTAACATGTGGCTTTTTTGGGGGGGGTTTTCCACAGAGGGAGGAAGCGCTGAAACATCATGAAGAGTTATCTCAAGAGCTTGTTAACCTACGAGGAGAGCTGGGTAAGGATCCACTTTCCTAATTTTGGGGAAAAGAGGAGTGTAGCAAAACTGAGGAGTTGAGAGAGACAGATATCATGGTATTGTAAAAACAGTCCTGAATTCCCTGGCTGATTTCTGTTCAAATGCTTAAGCAGTGCACTTCTCTGGAGTCTTGACAGCATGACCCTGGGTTCACTGAATTCCTGGCACTGATCTGGGTAAGCCGAGGACGGCCTCCTCAGGAAGCATGTATCTGATGACCAAAACATTCACTTTTTGTCTTACTGTCTGCATATTCATTCCTGTTTGATGCGTAAATTGTAAATTGTTTCTACAGAGAATTGCTGGCAAAGTCCAGTAAACAAAGCTGCAAAACGTGGTATATAAATTTTACTATATTTTCTTTCTTTTACGGACTTGTAGGCAAATAAGTGTAAAATTAACAGCAGGAAATGCAATCGGAGTAATAGCATTAAATGCTTAAATCATCCTGGGGGACAGCTATAATACCGATGACTAACTGTAAAGCAGAAGGGTTAGTTTTTGCCAAATTTGAAGTTGAATTTAACTAGTTTTAATGGTATTTTTTGGCCTTAATCTTAAAGGGGTGTAATCCTGTAATAAACCTATTTTGAAATGAAAATGAAGTGGCAGTTGAGGCAAATGGGGCTTTTCTACCTCGTTTTCATTGTGTTGAGACCCACTGTGGTAGTATTATTAGAATAGAATAACCTATGCTTTGGCGTTTTGTACATGCCATTTATTACTGAAAAGCTAAAAACTTATTTTTTTCATGACTTAGAAGTTGTGAATACTATTCAGTTTGGCTGGGATGGTGTTTCTAGGTCTGGTTACATGCAGCTGCTGCATTTAATTTTCAGCTTTATTTACAGTAGTGATTGATAAGATGGGCATTTGCTGGCAGCCAAGAACAGAGTTATATGAGCTTGACTTTTATCGTGGTTCATTGAATCCTACAGCTAACTGTCAGGAAAGCCTTTTTCTCTGTGTCAAATGTTTACATCTAACTTTTAATTTCATTATATTTTATTTATGTATTACGAGTCGTAAGATTTAATTTTTTTTGACAACAGCTTTCTTGCTTTGTATTGTGCAAAATTGAAAATGAAATGCCCGCTTTGCTTCGCTTGGTGTTTTTCATACAATATAAGTAGGTAGGCTTGATAATGCTGATGGTTTGATAAGGTGTGTGGATATTGGGTACTTTTATCTTTAAAATTTCCATTTTCATTTTTTGCATGGAATTTTAACATGAAGTTGTAGACTTATCAGATATCAGAGTGAAAAACTTGATGTCTTTCTTTTTTTTTTTTTAACCTTTCTACTGATAAATTGCTTAGTTTGGGACTGAGGCTTACACTTAAATACTGTCACACAAAATGGGAAGCTTAATACTGGCATTTCAGCTTCATACAAATGGTCCTCTGACAGTCTGCTTAATGTCTAGCAAAAAATATGTTATTCCCCCCTACCTTGCCCTTTAATCTGTATAGTTGTTCATCCTTCTCTTGCCCTTCAGATTCACATACCTACCAACTTGGCAGTGGTCAACCGTTTAAGAATGCCTGTTTAATAGGGGTGGTAAAATTAGCTTGGGCACAAGGCCCAAGAGGACCAAAAAATAGCAAATACATTTTGACCATCTTTGAGGTGTTTTAGTTCAAAAGCACACTGCAATTTTTCTCGTCTTGTGTATTCAGCTGGTTCAGCAAGATTTAGTTAAAGCGCCCCTGCCACCATTTTGAAACATGGGGATGCTGAATACACGTGATGCCGAGGCCGCTAGAGTTCTGGATTGAGTACTTAATCCCAGTGTGCAGGGCTGGGTGGGGGCAGTACCAGGCCCTAGGGCCCAATCCCAGTGTTGGGGGCTGGGAGGGGGTGGCGCCAGGGCCCTATTCTGGTACATGAGGGTGGGAGGGGGCAGCATCAGACCCTCAGGGTCCAATCAGGGTGTACACGGCTCTCTAGCCCACAGACCAACGCTGCACTACTCAGCTGGCTGGTGGGAGCAAAAGGTTGATCACCACTGTCCTAAAGTATTGGGAAAGCAGGCTGTTCAATATGCTTACCTCTGGAAATGATTGAATCGTACTTTCAGTGAAGCTTGCCCTAACAGGATGTGAGGAGCCTCGGGTCCTGCTCCCTGAATCGGGTGCCTGGTCCAAGTGAGCAGAGCCAGGCAAGGGCAAGGCTAGGCCCCAAAAGGCCCAATCCCAGTGCTCAGGGGTAGGAGGGGTTAGCTCCTCAGGCCTGATCCCAGTGTGCATGAGTGGTGCTTGGTCCCACAGCCTGATCCTTGAATGCAAGGGCAGGGAGGGGATGATGCCAGGCCTAAAGTCTGGTTCTGGCACACGGGGATTTGTCTGACCCATGGATTGACCCTGCTTTTCTCATCTGGCCCATGTGGTCAAAAGCTTGAGCACCTCTTTTCTAATAATTCTACTGCTGAATACTAAACCACTGTGAGACTTCTTAGATTGTGCTCTGTTGAGCTTAACAAGCAAATTTCTGGGTTCTGTTCTGTTTTTATCCTTTTTTCCTGGGGTAATTCTTAGCCTAATTAATGTTTATAAGCACTTAAAAATTTAGTATGCAGGTATGTATAGTGATCTTGTTGCTATGATTATTGTATTTTTGCATAGAATCTTCAGTAATTTCATGTAGAAAATGATAGTTGGATGCTTTTTCCTCTTTCTCCAGTTTTTGTTTTGTTTTTTTTGAAGGTTTTGGGAGTAGAAATTCAGCAGCAGTTAAATATTTAATTTGAGATCCTTTGCAACTTCCAGCCTGAAACCATAAACATTGAAAACTTTGGTCATAAATGTATTCATTTAGAGGTCCAGAGTTAGTTGGATTCATTCAGAGGTCCCAGAGTAGTTGTGTAAACCCTAGTTAACACCTTGCTTTTTCTCTAGTTGTTTATCAGTACACAAGTGAAATATAGAAACTAGCTTTTTTTTTTGCTTGCTAAACCAGTGGGAGCCAACCTTTTTAGCAGGTGTGTCACCACTCAGCCCTGCACCCTCCATGTACCACTCTGATCCCCTTCCCAGTCTGATCTGGTGCGATGCTTTCTGCCCTGCTTTATTTCCTGCCATTCCTGATTTGCTGGATGCCAAACGTAGACTGCCTCTAACACTTCTAGCATGTGTGCAACAGGTTGAACCACCCCACACCGTGTGAAACGATGTACGATGGAACAAAGGTGTAATAAACAATTTTACATGGTTTGAAAAAGCATGCAGCACTTGGAAATAAAAATGCTTGTTTACCCTTTTGTCTGTCCTTGAATTAAGTCTCATCCACTGCAATACTGTGACATAGTAGCAAAGTATGTATCCATTAGCCCTGTGAACGAAATTCACAAGGATTTTTCTATCTGCTTTGAAGAAATGTGTATATTTTCTGCACAGTGTGATGTGTTGAGTAGCAATTACATCCCTTAAAATTACTGTGGCAATTGTTTTGAACATGGCAAGTGCAGTATTTTGTACTTTTCCTTATTGAATGCAGAATTCGCTTTAAAATTTACTTTTCTAATTTGTTTTAACAAGCGACTATAAAAGGGATTTTTTTTAGAAGCTATTTTTCAGTTAATCATAAAAATAATTGGAAAAATAGGGCTGGAAGGGACCAGAAGAAGTCATCTAGGACAATCCCCTGCTCATGGTAGGTTCTTTTTTTTCTAAACCATCAGCCTGGTGTTCGTCTAATCTGCTCTTAAACTTTCAGGGATGGTGATTTCACAACCTCTCTAGGTAATCTATTCTAGTACTTAACTGCCTTCATGATAAGACAGTTTTCTTAATAATATACAACCTAATTTTCCCTCATTGTAATTTAGTAACATTGCTCCTTGTCCTCTTCTATGCAGTCACAGTGAATAGTCTATAGTCCAGTGTTTCTCAACCAGTGTGCTGTGGCACAAAAGTGTGCCTTCCGAAATAAACAGGCGTGCCATGGAATTTTGCCATGGCAATGAGCTACGACGAGCTGTGATAGGTATCAGGATGGGGAATGCCTTAACAGGTGTGCCACAGAGAAATGTTACTAATGTAAGTGTGCCTTGGGCTGGAAAAGGTTGGGAAACACTGCTGTAGTCTATCAACTTTCTCTTTCGTAATGACTTTTTCTGGTATTGGGAGACAATTATCAAATCCTTCCATCTCTTCTCTGGACTAAATAATTCCTATTTCTCCAACTTTTCTTTGAAGTTGTGCTTCCTAAACCACTGATCATTTTTTGATCTCTGGACTCCCTAATTTGCCCACATCATCTTTCTTGAAGGGGGATGCCCAAAACTTACCTAGTACTCTACATGAGGGCTTGCCAGAATTGAGCAGAGTGGAAGAATCACTTCTGTGACTCGTATGTAATGCTCCTGTTAACATATTGCAGTATGTTGGCTTTTTTTGCAACCCATACTACTTGTGGTCCACTATAGCTCCTGGGTCCTTGGATCATTCTGTTGTAAATGATTGAAGCATTTGATTATTCTTTTGTAAATGCAGTGCTTTGTACTTGACCTTACTGAATTTCATCCACTTAATTTCAGGTCATTTTCTTCAACTTATCAAGATCATTTTGAATCCTTGGTTTCTCTTCCAAAATGTCTGCTACCCCACCCAGAATAGCATCATCTGAAAATTTGTACAGTTTCTCCCCTCTATTAAAAAAGGGCAGGGTATAAGACAGAAATCTGTATTGTTAATGTGTACAGTACCTCTATTTAATTCTGCAAAGTACTTTTTAAAACAACCATCATTATGTGATGCCTAATTTAGTGAAACCACTTAAAAAACACAGTAGATTAATGTGAACTTTGCTGTTAACATCTGCTGAAATGTTTAACACATGGACATAGCAGAGGTATGCTTAAATAGCTTTATTAGCTGTTGGTTTAAGTGAGATGTTTGTGGCTTCTAATTTGCCAGGTGCTACAAACTAAGTTGGGGGGAGGCGGGAGGTTATCCCATGTTGGGCAAAAGTATACTGAT